TTTTTTTTCTGCTGTACGCGGGCCTCTCACTGTTGTGGCCTCTCCCATTGCGGAGCACAGGCTCCGGACGCGCAGGCTCAGCGGCCATAGCTCACGGGCCCAGCCGCTCCGCGGCATGTGGGATCTTCCCGGACCGGGGCACGAACCCGTGTCCCCTGCATTGGCAGGCGGACTCAACCACTGCGCCACCAGGGAAGCCCGGTTAGCTCTTTTTGCCTGTGTTGTATACTTTACAAGTCACTTCATATTCTTGAAATACTGCATGTAGTGGACATTTATTTGAAGTGAGCACCACCACCACCACAAAACACAATTAAGATACTTAAACCTGTGAACAGTTGTAGTCATCTCTTTCAGAGGCTTCTAGAAGCAGTATCTAATTGGCATGTGGAGATAAATTTATAAATTATAAACAAATCTATTACTATAATTAATAGATTCATTTATAAACAGTGATATTAATGAGCATTGTTACTACTTTTTCTCAAAAAGCAAATTCTGATTATTTGAAGAAGGTGAACTTAACCTTCTACCAGGCTTGGATTGAGTCAATCTAAATGCCGTTTGGACAGGCCGCTTGATTAGTAATGAAACTTCAGGTGTAAATGTCTCTACCATGTTTAGCCCCCTCAGAAGCTTGAAATAACTTGAGTATTGGTCAGTGCTGGTCTCATTAATAACGAACTATCGTTAAAGTAAATATGTCATAGCACAGGGAAGTGTAACAGTCTTCAGGTTAGTGCGCATTTCTTCCAATGTACAGCTTAAAGTAGGGGCGCAGCATGAAAGAACTGGTGCTGCCTGGAAGAAGGCAGCAGCCTTAGAATCTAAACTTGATTTCTTACCAGGTTTTTACTGTTTTCTTCAAGCAACCTGAATGGTGCTTGCATCTTTTATCTCTTCATATGATCTGCTTTCTAGATGATTCCATACCCCCATGCATTTGCTTTCACTCTGGTGTGACTTTTACTTTAGGTCTCTTGCTACCACCTCCATGCTCCTTCCTTTCACTCCTCCATTGCTGACCAAGGGTCCTCAGCTTTACTGTTCGTTTTCCCATGTACATACTTAGGCCCATTCTTATACTTTTAACTTTGCACATCTGTAAACTTATAGAACTTACTGAAACATATTTCTTCACACCCATATTCTTCAATCTGAATTATAGACTCATCTTTTAGAATGGACCAAAAGAATTTGAGGATCATTTTAATTAATTTAAAGATCATTTAAATGTATTTGCTTCTACACTCTTGCTTTGATTATGTTAATACATGTGTGACTTTTGATGACATACACTTGAATTTCACTGATTAATTTCTACCATGCTGAGAGGTTTCTTGTTTTTGTTTTTGTTATTTACTTTTGGCTGCATTGGGTATTTGTTGCTGTGCGTGGGCTTTCTCTAGTTGTGGCAGGCGGAGGCTACTCTTCATTGCAGTGCGTGGGCTTCTCATTGTGGTGGCTTCTCTTGTTGCGGAGCATGGGCCCTAGGCGCGTGGGCTTCAGTAGTTGTGGCACGCGGGCTCAGTAGTTGTGGCACCGTGGCATGTGGGCTCTTCCTGGACCAGGGCTTGAACCCGTGTCCCCTGTATTGGCAGGCGGATTCCTAACCACTGCACCACCAGGGAAGTCCCTGGAGAGTTATTTTTAATTAGGAATACTGAGGTTAGTATTTCTGGTTTTTAAAATTGCAACATTTGCAAATAGTGTTGAAAAAACATTGAACACTAAATTTATGTAGGATTTACGAAGTCAATATATGATTTTCTATATTTACCAAAAATTAATTATAGGGATTTGTGGAAATTTTTTTTGTAAACTATAAAGATATGTTTTATTGTCACTAAAAAAATGGCACAGTGTGTTTCAACTTAAGTTTAATTAAGGTAGATGTTTTTATTTAGAGTTCATGTTATTATTTTGAAGATGTTGCTTCAAAGGCTTGGTCTTGCAAATAACTGTAAAGTAGACGTATTGGCAGTAAACTAAAGACCTTAGGCCTTAAACTGATTTTCACCAGCTTACTTATTAGATTTAATTTTTATATGTATAAATAATTGAAACAGGAATACAATTTATGTCATTTTTATTGAAAAGTTAATTTTTTTTCAGGAATATTATTGGTAGCTTTGCAAAAAGCATGCTTGATACATTCCTAGCATTTCACAAATAGCTATAATTACATTTTAAAGAAAAAGAACTTCTGAAAAATGAGCTTTGAATCCTAATAGTTTCTCTGTAATAGAATGTTTTTATCTAGGGATTGGTACATACTAATGACTTTCTTCAAATTCTCTTTTCCCACCCACCAGCCAGGCCCACAACTCCTCTTTCTGTAGGCACCATTGTCCCACCTCCAAGGCCTGCTTCCAGACCAAAGCTTACTTCAGGAAAACTCAGTGGGATTAATGAAATAGTATGTACTCAGGTGTTTTTTTTAAAATTATAACTGTTTTGATTTAATATGCAAATGCTGTTTCTCTGTATGTCCCTTTACTGCTGAATGCTTGGAATTTTCTACTCAAGGCTTCAAAGTACAGAAACGTTTTCCCTGCTGATACTCCCTTCACTTCCCCATGTTATCTCAGTGATTGTACCTGTGGAGCAAGACCGCTGTTCAGGAGGAAAGAAATTTCCTGAGAAAGCACATTATAAAAACACAATTCAGTACCCATTGTTTCATAATTAAGAAGCAATTTTCATATAATTTTGCTTAAAGTCAAAGATTAAGGAAAAAACGGTGGCCTGTTCTTAGACCTAGAAGTATACTGCCAGGGGAGTCCTGGTGGGTATCTAGTCCAGCTTTCTTTATTTTATACATAAGCAATCTGGAGTTCACTTAACTGACTTGTAAAAGTACACATTGCTTAAAAAAAGAAAAAGGCATTGGTCTTCGAAAGTTGTCAGATAATGAAAGAAAATATATGGGTTCTATTGAGAGTCAGGCTCTCCCAAACCAGTCTTCTTTCTTTCAGTCTGTCCTGGTTTACTTTCATCTTTCACTTGCCAGTTTAATTGCCAGAATTAAATTTCTAAATGTCAAGCTTAATCTTTTTCCCCTGATATACATCTACAATGGTACACCTGTAATCCGCGTGGTTGAATATTTTAGCTGAATCTACAAGACTCTTCGTAAAGTTGACTCAACAACCTGCATTACCATACTAACTGTCCAGTTTTCTCCTCTTTGCAACCTAGGTTCCAGCCACTTGAAACTTTCCACTGTTCCCCAAACACATCATGCTCTTTTACGTATCCATGTCTCTATAGTACTCCCTCTTGTCTGAAATGCCCCTCAGTTTTCTATGTAGGAAACTGCTCTCTTTAAGACCCTGCTGCATATCAACCACCTAGGTGAAGCCCTCTTTGATGGTTACTCCTCCTCTCCACCCCACAGTGGACTTAATCATCCTCTGTCACTCTCTTCCTTATACCCATACACTTGCTCGTGTTTCTTTTAGTGCATCAATCACATTGTATATAAAGTTGACCCACAGTCAGTTCTCCGTATCTATGGGTTCCACATCCACAGATTAAAAATATTGCGGGGGGGGGCATCCAGAAAGTTCCAAAAAGCAAAACTTGAATTTGCCACACACTAGCAACTGCTGACATAGCATTTGCATTGCATGTACAACTTTTTACATAGAATTTACATTGTATTAAGTATTATAAGTAATCTAGAGATGATTTAAAATGTAAGGGATGACTGTACTGTTTTTGTGTGTGCTTCCTTCACTGGACTATACTTTAGCCAATTTCATATCCTTAATACTTTGCTAATGCCTTAATAGTTTACATAATGCCTGTCACCTCATGTCCTGTACCACTTCCATCTGTATATTTCCACAGCCACATTTTACACCTTGCTGTGTTTTTTCAACCTGCTGTCCATAATAATGAGTCATCCAAAAGCCATTCTCTGGAACTAATACTTTAAAAATAATTAATTGGGGTCACAAGGGTTTACTAAGTGTAAAATATTTTGGGCAGTATAATCTAATTTTTATAAGAGTGTATATCTATAAATTTATATTCATGCGAGTAGAGTTGAATAATTTTAGTGTATGAATGCTTATAGGGTTTTGTTGGTTGTTTTTCACCTTCTGTTTTTCATGTTCCTCAAATAGATGGGGACAGAAACAGTGTCTAATTCACTGCTTTGTATCTAGTACCCATGACCTGACACATAGTATAGGCACTAAATAAATATTGTATTTACTTATAACTTTTATAAGCAGGAAAGGTTGTCTTTAATTAAGCTCAATATTCCATATTTTAAAAATGAAACACCTCAGGAAGTGTTGCTGATGTATTATTGGAACAATTAGGAATTTGGAAGGAAAAAACCATTCACCAAAGTAAAAGATAAATGAATTGGAATCATACTTTTCATATTTGTTTTTATTTTTAACCAGAAAAGTGGGAAGACAGTAGAATTAAGATTTTCTCAAACCTCTGAATGGGGTAAACTTTCTCAATGAGGAAGCATTACAATGAATTATAAGGAAAATGTGCACAGATTTGTAAATGCCAAAAGTAAAGCAATATTTAGGAAGAAAATATTTGCATCAAATAAAAGGGTTAGTGAAAGCTCAGATAATACTAAGACCTCCCCAAACTAAATCAGGCAAAGCTAACAGACAACTCATAAAAGAGAAATGCCAATTTTATTTTTATCTACGGAATTAGCTAAAAGGTTTTAAATTTTATTATTTTTCCTTCTTCTAAGGCTCATCTATTCATTGCTGGCAAGAGTGCAGAGAAATATTCTCATATATTTACAGGCAGTAGGGTAAAGTGAGTTACCCAAATGGGAAGCAGTTGGGCACTATGTATGAAAAGCCTTCACAATGTTTAGCTTCTGAGAATCTATCTTAAGCATACTTTTTGAAATACAGAAAAAGTTTTTTATATACAAAGATTCTCTTGACGGCATTATTTTAAAAAAGCCTTTTCCGCTTTTAATATATTCTTGAAAATGATTTGACCTAGGCATCTCTAACTGTGAGTTTTAAGAAACACAATAAATTTGGTTTAGTATTTTAAAATTAATGTTCCTGATACCTAAAAATCTTTTCTGATAACTGGGGAATTGTTTTAGCATTTTGGTAAATGACATTTTGTTTTTAAGCCCAGGCCATTCAGCCCACCTATAACTTCCAATACCAGCCCACCTCCTGCTGCTCCGTTAGCCCGGGCAGAAAGTTCTTCCTCTCTCTCATCTTCTGCGTCACTAAGTGCTGCCAATACTCCAGTAGGTAAGTGATTATCATAAGTTACATGCAAAATTTAACATCCAAAATATGATCAGGCTGAGGTAGTGAAGAATTAAGCATTAGACATTTTGGTTTTCTGGAAACACACCTGGCATTATCAAAGTAGCCACATTTTCCTTTTCTCTTTCACATTTTATATTATCTGAATAGAGAATTTTAACCATGATTAGCACTGTTAAGAATGCATCAAATTTATAAACTACTGACCAGTATAAATAGTTGAAGGCAGAATATGGTGCAGTACTTTCTACTGTGAATTGGTACTTACATTCCTAAGAAAATTTGTTTTAAAAACAACTGATTCAGTGAAAGGAAGGGGGTTTGTGCTTGCAGTGTGGTCCTGGGACCTGCAGCATCTGTCTGTATCACCTGGGAACTTACTAGAAATGCAGACCTTTTAAATCAGAAACTCTGGAGTGGGGCTAGCAATCTTTGAACAGGCTTTCTAGGCAATTCTGATGCATGTTGAGTTTAAGAATCCCAGCCCTCATTAAGCTGATTTAATTATACCTAATTTGATTGATTTGTCAAAACTCACGCAGGAGAAATGGGTCTTCTGTATGTAGCCACTGTAAAAACGGCATGAGTGGTATAGGCTAAAATGAGATAAATGATTTGATTTCTAAATGTCTGAACATGATGTTACCATCTTATCTTATATACTTTTGTGAACATACTGTTTTTCCCATCTTCTGACTTTATGTAAACAATATATTCAATAAGTCTTTTTGTTTGCTGTAACAAGCACCTTATTCTTACATTTTGTGTGTATATGTGGTTTTGTTACCTTTTGTTTCCACAGAATCTGTATTTTAATCATAAAGAACCTAGATGGGTCCTGTTAGAAATCAAGCAGGTCCTGGTAACCAAAATTGCTTTAGTCGTTTCCCATTATCTCCAGATTACTCAGAACGTTTTCTATTTGTGATGGAAACTTTAATTTTGATTAAGTTGGTACATATTTGTTTGTAGTTTGGGCCAGTGCTGGCAATAGAACGACAAGTAGGTGACGGTGATGATACAGGCAGGCAGGATGTGATGTAATGTGGATTTTATATGACAAAGTTTCTTTAAATCTTCCTAAAAATATCTTCCTTTATTGTGATGTTTATTCAGCACCCTGTTTAGATTTAAGTTTTTGATTCTTCTTGTTCTTGAAAGTATTTTCTTTTCCTGCAATATTTTGTTTTATTTAAATATGATAGAAGATGATAATTTGATTGGGACACTCTCTGAAATTGAAAAGCACTGTGAGACTTCACAAGGTATTGTATCGAAAGCAGATGTATGTGTTAACTAATGACCCTAAAGTGTATCTAAAATACTCTGTTATCTAATTCTTCCTTTTCCAGCAATTTATGGTGTCTCAGAAATCAAGAATAACTCTAAGGTTTAACTATCTCAATTTTGTACTAATTATGTCCAGTTTCTATACAGGATCCATTGATAGCAGTGGATAAGTTATAAAAACATACATTATTTTTGCATTATCTTCCATCTCCCTCCTGCTCTTCTCTCCTTAACATTAAGAAATATCAACAAATCTTACCTCTAAAGCTATTAGAAGCAGAGAAAAAGTGATTAGGAAAGAACCAGAAAGAATATGTCAGTTAAAAAAAAGAAACTATAATATAAAAACCGCAAAGCAAAGGCTATCAATCACACGAAAGCCATTCATACAGTGAGCTGAAGTTAGAAGCAAAGAGGTAGGAAATAGTTGGGAGTGAGTCCCTGTTTTTTACTTCAGAGCTGAAAGGAATTCCACAAAAATATTCACTGATTGTTACAAAGGTAGGTACCCTTTATTTCAGCTTTATGTCTCTGCATTTTCAAAACATACACAATTGTAAATATGCAACAATTAAACCAAAATTAGAATGCATACTGTCCTTGTAAAGAAGAACATCCAAGGAATTTATTATTTCCAAAAAATGAGTCATTCTGAATAATATAGTACACAGACTTTTTTAGGGACTTAAGCACATATTTCCTGTGTCAAACATTTTTTTGAAGGATGCGTATACAACATGATCTTGGAAACAAAAACGGAATATACAAAAGGGGATCTGCCAAAATGTTAAGTGGATTTTGAGTTTTTTTCCTAACTCTCCAATATGTTTTTCTTCTTGCCAGTATTTCAGTAACAGGCTTAACAATTTACAGGGAAACTATTTCAAGAATTCTCATTTTATATGCCCAAATTGGATCATTGAAAAGAATAACTTTGTAGGTTTCTTTTGATTTTTAATGTCAAAGTCCTAGCAGACATTAATGTTACCCATGACTGTGTGTAGATATCCACTTGTGTAGGTTATACCTAAAGGAAAAGATTAATTTCAGATTTAAGAGCATAGAATTTTCTCTAATAAAAGATTATTATAGTCTTCATCTTTCTCTGAAAATATGCTTTCCTGAATTTCTAGTGACCCTAGTATAGAATATATTTTTTTTTTAATTGAACTAATTTAGATTTACAGTGAAATTTTCCCACTGCACAAACATGTATTTGCATAGTTGTAATCACATATCCTAGAAACTACTGCCTCTTGATCAAGCCCTTAGCTTTCATTTAATTCTCTCTCACCTGATCCAAACTTGAATCCCTGCCAAGTCATTTTTCTTTTCAATCCAGGATTCCCTCTGTGTTCAGTGATCTTACAAAATGAAATACACAATCATGTTTCTTTTAAACATTTTCAGTGGCTTTTAGTGCCAATAGGATAAAATTAAAGGTCTTCCATGTCCTGATCTGGGTTATAAACACTTCTCCAGACACATTTTCATGTCCTTTCATTGTTGCAGCCCATCACCCACAAAGTATGTTCCTGCTTTGCAGAAAAAACTACTTGTGGTTCAAAAAGGCACCATTTCTTTCATGCCTCTTTGGCAAAGTGTCTGGCATATATTGGTGGTTAGTAGATAGTAGCTGTTGTGATTTTGTGAATACATTTTATTATTGGGTTTATTTTCATATGAAATTTCAAGTTGTCTTGTTTGGGAGAGTTTACTTTTCCCAGTGGCCTAGAAACAGCAGTTCCTGTTTGAGTCATTTTTTTTTTTAAACTATGAAGAGCCTTCTAAATCAGAATTCTTCAAAATCTTGAACAGTACAGAATCTTCTTGGCCTCTAAAGGCAACAAAAGCTCTTTCTCACTATTTGTAGGAGCCCAGGTTTAGTTGTGAGGCAAATAAAGCTAGTACTGATTTTTGTTAGAATTAATAATACTCTAGGTATCTCAGAAGTAACTCACATCTGAAATAAAAATATCTGATGGCTATGAATTTATGTAGCAAAAAACATACATTCAAATTTCAGAGATAAATGAATAACCTAGGCCAACATATTTTTCTTTAAATAAGAATGAATAATCATAATTACCCAATTGACTTATTTTTACAAAATTTCATCATATATTGTATATTAAATGAAATGCTCCACTTTCCAATTGATAACAATAATGGTAAGGCATAAATGGAGAGAGTACACTTGTAAAGAAAAAAAAGGCAATGCACTATTTTAAGGGATTTGTCTGTTATGAAATAAACCAGATGCTTTTAGGTTTTAAAAAACACCTGAACATATACATTAAATTTGTTTACATTTTATTACTCTTTTAAAACACTGCTCTTTCTATGATTTGACTCTAAAGGTATCTTACTGAGTTAACTTTATGTCAGGAATGTTACCTCAAAATGATGTTATTAGTCATGTTTATCGAAGAAAGGTAATATGGGAATATAATACAAGCATAAGACAAAGAAGAGGTAAAGGAGAATTACAGTAATAATGAGTAGTGCATGATTACATTACACTGCTCTTTAGAAATAGCTAATGTATAGAAATACCTTAAATAGAAAAATCCAGTTTAATGACCTTACGTATGTTAATTAGTAGAACCTGAAAGAATTTAGTATCTGAATGGTTTTGAAGCCATATTTTAGTAATTTTAGCTCTTCAGGTGAAGGGCTTTTTCCTTCTGACATTCCTTAACCCAACCCTTCTTTGTCATTCTATTTAAAATTGAAGTCACTGTGACGTATTTTCCTGATTTGTTTTTATTTGTCCAACTTGTTTTATGCTCCATTTTTTAACCAGATTTATACTTGGGGCATCTTTGAAACCGGTAATAGAGTCACTTGTGACAAGCTAATATTTTGAGTCTACTCTGTCTTGGTATTTAATAAATATCTTTCTATAGGATTTAACAAATGAATTGTATTTATTCTAGGTGTGTCACGAGGTCCCAGTCCTGTCAGCCTTGGAAATCAGGACACCTTACCTGTGGCAGTCGCCCTTACAGAATCTGTTAATGCCTACTTTAAAGGGGCAGATCCCACCAAGTTAGTTTTTAAAAGATACGTGTATATGTGTGTGTGTGTGTTTCAGGGGCGGGGGCTTGGTGGTAAATTTTAAGAGTTATATTTTGATTCTCTATTAGAGTTTTCTATTACTTGTTTACCTGCTTTTTGCTATCAATTATAGTCATTTAGATATTGTCTTTCAAATTTAAGAAGTCACTATAATCAGTAGTGATGGCTTTTTTCTAAGTTTATGTACGTTTTTGCCCAGGCTTTATGACCAGTATGACACATCTGTTGTTTGACATGTCCGTAGAACAGGATTGTGGCAGCTGACGTAGATGGGGTAGAACTCTGCATCTTGGCCTAATGTGTATCTTTGGTGAGAGTGTGATGTTTGCAAGAGAGACCTAGAGTGCATGTCTATTACAGGAGACTCTTGAAGGATTGGTTTAACCTCCTTCTATTAAGAAAATGATCTTTGGGTGAATGACCACCTTTATTTTTCTTTCTTTTTTTTTTAAATTTTATTTTATTTTTCTTTCTTTTTTTTTTAAATTTTATTTTATTTTTTCATACAGCAGGTTCTTATTAGTTATTTCATACAGCAGGTTCTTATTAGTTATTTATCTTATACATATTAGTGTATATATGTCAATCCCAATCTCCCAATTCATCCCACCACCACCACCCCACCCTTATTTTTCATGTATAACATTATTCATTCATTAAATATTTGAGTGCTTAATATGTGTAAGACTGTTATAAACTTGCATTGTTGTGAAAGTTTCTTAGTTTTCACTTGAGATAATGCAAGCTCTGTAGAGAAGAACTTTTGTTTACTAAAGTACCTTCAGCACTTAAACAGAGTCTTACACATAGTAAGCGCTCAAATGAATTAATAATGTTACTTAGGAAAAGGAGAGGTATTGATATATGCTATGAAGAAAAATAAACCAGGGTAAGGGGATAGACAGTTACAACAGAGGGCTACTATTTTAGATAGAATGATCGGTGAAAACCTTTTTGAGGTTGTTTTTGAAAGACATTGAGGGAGGAGCAAGCCATGCAGATAGGTGAGTGAAGAGCATTCCAGTAAGTGTAAGGGACTGACGTAGAAGCATGCTTGGCATAGTCAAGAAACAGCAAAGAGAACCATGTCACTGAGTAGGAATAAACAAGGAAGAAAGTAGTCCAAGATAAGTCCACAGAGGGAACAGATCAGGCTGGGCCTTGTAGACCATGATAAGGAGTTTGGAATTTATTGTGGGTGAGGTGGGAAGCAAGTAGAGGCTTTTGAGTAGAGGAGTGATGAGGTTACTTATGTTTCTGAAGTAGCACTCTGCCTGCTACATGGAGAATAAACCAGAAGGAGCCAGAGTAGATGCAGAGAGAAAGGGTTAACCACTGAAGTCCAGGTGAGAGATGATGGTGACTTGTGTAAGGGTATTAGCAGAAGAGATGCGAGTAGTAATGAGATTCTGAATGTATTTTGAAAACAGAGTTGTCAAGATTTGTTGAGGGAGTAGATGGTTAAATTTGAAGTACTTATTAAGACAATTTAGTGGGGATGTTGAGTTGAGGATAGTTGAATACATGATTCTAGAGTTCAGAGATAGGTCCAGGCTAAAATATTTGGTAGTCATTAATTTGTACATGATACTTAAAGCCTGGGGCATTAGGGTGTAGAGAAGAGATCTGATGAGAACTTAAGTCCTGGCCCCCTTCAGTGTTTAAAAACAGGAGGGTGAGAATCATCCAGCAATGGAGTTTGGGACAGCAAGCAACAAGAGAGGTGAGAAGAGAACCAGTAGAGCAGAGTCCCAGAAACTAAGTGAATAAACCCTTTCACGAAAGAAGCTGTGAAGCTGTATCTGATGCTATCCGTCAGGTCAAGAAAAATTGATCATTAACAACATGAAGGTCATTAATGACCTTCACAAGAGCAGCTCTAGTAGACTGCTTCGAGGGCGCTCAGGAGCAGGAGATGATGCAACACAGACAACTGTATTTGGAGAGCGCAAATGTTAGGCAATTCTTTTAGGATATTTTGCTCTAAGTAGAAGCAGAGAAACAGGGTGGTAGCAGGAGAGAGATGGGAGAAACAGAGGAGGCCTTTATTAATTTTAGTTTTTGGGTTTTTTAAAGATGACTGACATACATTTCAGTATGCTAATGGGAAAAATCCAATATTTATGGAAAAAACTGAATCTGCAGGAAAGGGCACAATTGCATGAGTGAAGTCCTTCAGTATGTAAGAGGAGATGTGCTTCAGTACAGTTAACCTTAGGGGCATAGACTGATTATCTGTTGAAACAGGAGGGAAGGCAGAAGGTATGGATGCCTTAAGAGTCAGGGAGATTAGGATCTTAGTAGTGAGAGTATGAGGAAGTTCTTTTCTGATTTTATTTTATCTGTAAAATTTAAAGGAAAGTCGTTGACTGTGGGTGGGGGAGGGAATTTTGCGGGTTAGAGTTAGAGGAGAAAGGAGAAGGTATGAAAAGAGCTAGGGAATGTAGTAGAATTTCCAGGTAATACTAAAGGGGCCCAACTGAGAGTTTTGGCTATATCATTATATGTTTTTCTCTAGTCATGTTCGGCCATATAGGTGTAGGTGAGGAGCTGGATTTAGCTAGGACTGTTTTGCCAAACAAGCATAGTCAAGTGAGAGAGAACCAAGGGGAGGGTTTATGCAAAGGAGTATGTATATTGATGGACCATGAAGTCCCAACATAGGGGGAAATGAGGATATGAAGGAAGAGTGAAGATTCATGAAAAAGGTGGCAGGAACAATGGATTATGGAGGTTTTTGATGAGATTGGAGATGCAATACTAGACAGAATGAGTAGGAGAAGTAGGAAGAGAATATCCAATGAGTGGGGAATCAGACTGAGATGATGGAGGGGCTGAAGTATGGCTGAGGTAGGCTGGAAGGCAGGATCATTGAAGGCAAGGGGCTGAAGAACTAGGTGACCAAGGTGTTGAAAGGATTATCTTTGTGGCTATTGAAATCACTAAAAATTTATGATAGGAGTAGTTGTGCAGAGACAGACTGACAGTGGGCCAGGAGCTATAATTTTCAGAAAATGAAAGGGAATGTTGAAGATGACTTGGAGGGTTGGGATAGTGAGTAGTATAATCTGATGGTGTGAGTTTCAAATGAAGCTGGTGGTTTTTCAGAAGGAAGAAGGAATATAGAGTTGTAAGAGGCAATGAGAAGCAAGGAGGACATCTACCACTGCCACCATCAGGCCCAGTGCTTTGTGGGGTTTGGAGGAAAAATAGCTACAGCTGGGGATAGTGTTACCAGGGAAACAGTGTCCTTATGAGACAGCCAGGGATGGTTTTAGCAAACAAGCGAAGGAGTATTATCAGTGTGCTTCCATTTGTGTTTGGAATTTAATTCTAGGAAAAACTGGTGTTAGATGAATATATCATTTCACATAGAATCATTTTTTATAATTGAAAAAATAATTCATGGTAATTATGATAAAAGGTTTTATATATATAAGTAAAGCCCTTTTAAAACTAAATATGCTTTAAATGGAGGTTAAAATGCCTTATTTAAATTTTTCAAAATGCCTACTTTCAGGTGTATTGTGAAGATCACTGGTGACATGACAATATCATTTCCAAGCGGAGTTATTAAAGTCTTCACTAGTAATCCATCCCCAGCTGTGCTCTGCTTCAGGGTGAAAAATATCAACAGACTAGAACAAATTCTTCCAAATGCACAACTTGTGTTCAGGTTTGTGTACTTTTCAGTTTTTTTTTTTTTAATTTTTTGGCCACACTGTGGGGCAATGTGGAATTGTAGTTCCCTGACTAGGGATCGAACCTGTGCCCCCTGTGGTGGAAGTTCAGAGTCTTAACCACTGGACCACCAGGGAAATCCCCAGGTTTGTGTACTTTTGTTTTGAAGGTGAAATTTCTTTTTAAGAAATTTTTTCTTTCTTCTTCAAAGCAACAGTAATTCAATTTGAAGACAATCAAAATTATTTATTATGATTAAATAGGATTCTGCTGTCTTTGTTTTGTTTGTGCTGGTGGTGGTAGTAGTCATTGTTAAATCCTTTTCTAGTGTACATCTTCTCATCTTTTAGGCAACTTTCTGCTATGTTCCATTCTTTAGCCCCTAAGTTTAGTTTTACCTCATCCCATCTTTTGGTTCATTTCTACTGGTCTTTGCCAGGTCACCAAATTACTACAGAGAGGCAGAGGTTAAAGATAAATAAATAAATATGAAATAATAATAAATAATAATGAAAATATTTCTTACACATACAGTGATCCATCACAATGTGATTCTAACACAAAAGATTTTTGGATGAACATGCAAGCTCTTACTATCTACCTCAAGAAGCTATCAGAGCAAAATCCAGCTGCTTCTTATTATAATGTAGATGTATTAAAGTATCAGGTGAGTGTCATCTTATAAAAATCCTTAATTAAAATATTAACAAACAGAATCTTGCATATTGTTAAATGAATAATATGTCATGGCCAAATGAAGTTCATTCAAGCAATGCAAGGATGTTTCAAAATCAAAAAATCTGTTACTAAGCCTCTGGAAGTTTTGGCCAATTTGATCAAATTCACCATCTATCTATTACCAATTAAAGTACTGAGCAAATATAAATATATGAATGTCCTTCACCTGAAGAGACCAGCATATCAGTCTTAATAATGAAATACCTAAAGCATTGAAAGTCAGGAAAGTCATTATTCCTGTTAGTGTACAAGATTTTTCTGGATGTGTTAGTACAGTTAGACAGGAGAATAAAATAAGTGGTGATAAATATTGGAAAGGAAGATATAAAAATAATATTAATTACAGGTGATATATTTCTGGAAAACTCAAGAGAATCAACTGAAAAACTGATGCAGGAGAATTTAGCAAAGTGGTCATTTAAAAAATTAATACAAAAATTAATGGCTTTCAAAACAGCCAGTTAGGAAAACTAATGGAGAAAGATGTTCACAATAAAAAAACTAATTAGAGCTGGAGAGGTAGTCCAAGATGGTATAGGAAGATCCTGAACTCACCTTCTCCCGTGGATACACCAACATGGTGTACATACAGATACATGTGGAACAATTTCCTCTGAAAGGGACCCGAAAGATAGCTAAACAGCTCCTTCACATCAGCCAATGAGAAAAGGGCCACACTGAGGCGAGTAGGAGAGGCTGAGACACTGTCTCACCATAAGCCTCAACCCCATCATGGCAACCCACCATCTGCATGGAACTCACAAATCTGGAGCTCCTCTCTGAGGAACAAAGAGTTTGTAACCTGCATGGACACCCCAGCTTTTGAGACCTGCACTTGATAGACGAGTCCCTAAAACATCTGGCTTTGAAAACCAGTGGAGCTCGTATCCACAGGAACCAAAGGGCTGTAGAGATCTGAGAAACGGCTTTAAAGGGCTTGCATGCAAACTCAAGCACCCTAGGTCCCAGCATGCAAGCGGCCATTTGAGAAGTGCACAGACTATATGTGAAAGAGATTCATTTGCTGATCTTAAAGCATCGGCTTGAGGGGCCAGGGCGTGTTGAGATACTCTCCAGGGAATGAGGTGCTGGAGGGCACCTCTTTTACTTGCTCCATCTACTTTCCTAAAGCCAAGAGGCACCACTTTATTTGTTTGTTTTACTATAGACTTTTTCTCTTGGTGGGTGCCATCTTTACACTCCAACCAGTGGGCTCTCCCTCTCTCATGCTAAAGCTGGCTTTTTATTCAAGACCTCTTTCCCCCTTCCTCAGTGGGTGTCATCTTTGCACTCTCTTCTCTGACACCAGTATCTCCAAGAGGGGAGTTTTTATAGCTGTCTGGTGCCCCAGTTTTTGCAGCTGCAGCCCAGGGGACAGACACCCTTGATCTCCTGGCTCTGGAGGCCAGGGGAGCTTGCATTTCTGGGTCCCACAGGACTGTAACAATCAGTGAGACAGTTTTTGGCAGGCTACTGCCCCCAGGGCGATGCACAGAAAGCAGACTGAAAAACAACCATACTGTTTCTGTGAAAGAGACCCATTTGCTTGGCCTGGAGCAGCAGCCTAAGGGGCAGGCTTCAGGTCTGACACACATCTAGGGGTCTACAGATACGCTCTTAGGGAACATAGCCTGGGGGAATGCAGTCAATTACTCTCCCTCTGCCTTGCTACAGCTCACCAGTATCTCCCAGAAAGGAACTTATACACTCGTCTAGAGCCCTGATTTTTATGACTGTCACCCAGGGGACACCTCCAGATCACCTGATCTGGTGGCCAGCAGGGCTAACATTTGTATTCAATCTCACAGAACTATATGTATTTGCATACTTTAAAAGCTGCTGCCTGAGGGTCTAGCTTCCTAGTCAGTCTGAATCTATGTGCTGGCAGATTTCCTGCTTTGAAACACTGACAGGTCTTGGCACACCCTTGACAATTAGGAGCTATTAGATATAAAATAGGCTGCTTGGACAATCACAGAGGTTTGAGAGGCAACCAAGAGCTAAGGCGAGGTTGAACAATAAGGTTCATCTGCTACACGAGGTTACTCTTTCAAGACTGGAAGGGGTGGCTATTTCATCTAATACAAAGAAGCGCAGAAAATCAAGTAAAATGAGGAAACAGGAATATATTCTAAAAGAAAGAAGATAAAACCTTAGAAAAACAGCTTAATGAAACAGAGATAAGTAATTTACCTTATAAAGAGTTCTAAGTAATGGTCATAAAATGCTCACCTCACTTGGGAGAAGAATGGATAAACACAGTGAGAACTTCAACAAAGAAATAGAAAACATAAGAAAGTAACAAATAGAAATCACTGGGCTGAAGAATACAATAACTGATCTGAAATATATACTGGAGGGGTTCAACAGTAGACTAGATGAAGCAAAGAAAGGATCAAAGACAGGGCAGTGGAACTCACCTAATCAAAACAGCAAAAAGAAAAAAGAATTTTAAAAAGCGGAGATAGCTTACAGGACTTATGGGACAACATCAAGCAAATTAACGTACACATTATAATGGTCCCAGAAGGAGAAAAGAGATAAAGGGACTGAAAACTTACTTGAAGAAATAATGGCTGAGAACTTCCCTAACCTGGGGAAGGAAGCAGACATTCAGATCCAGGAAGCCCAGAGAGACCCACACCAAGACACATTGTAATTAAAATGTCAAAAGTTTAGGGTTTCCCTGGTGGCGCAGTGGTTGAGAATCTGCCTGCTAATGCAGGGGACACGGGTTAGAGCCCTGCTCTGGGAAGATCCCACATGCCACAGAGCAACTAGGCCCGTGAGCCACAACTACTGAGCCTGTGCGTCTGGAGCCTGTGCTCCTCAACAAGAGAGGCCACAACAGTGAGTGAGAGGCCCGTGCACCGCAATGAAGAGTGGCCCCCGCTTGCCACAACTAGAGAAAGCCCTTGCACAGAAATGAAGACCCAACACAGTCAAAAATTAAAAAAAAAAAAAAAAAAATTAAAAGAAGGCTCAACATTAAAACAAAAAAAATGTCAAAAGTTTAAAAAAAGAATCTTAAAAGCAGCAAGAGAAAAACCAAGGGAGCTCTCATAAGACCATTAGCAGACTTTTCAGCAGAAACTTTGCAAGCCAGAAGGGATATATCAAAATAAACTTTTAACCAAGGATATTCTACCTGGCAGAGTTATTGCTCAGAATTGAAAGAAAGATAAGGAGTTTCCCAGGCAAGCAAAACCTAAAGGAGTTCATCACCAATAAACCAGCCTTACAAGAAATGTTAAAGGGACTTCTTTGCTGAAAAGGGTGCCAATTAGTAACAAAAGTATGAAAGTATAAATCTCACTGGTAAAGGTAATTATATAGTAGAGGTAGTAGATTAATCACATAGAGTGAAAATAGTGAAAGGAAAAAGACAAAAATAGTAAAAATAACTCCAATAATTAGTGAAGGGATACACAAGATAAAAAGACGTAAAATGTGACATCAAAAACAGAAAATAGAGGGGGAGTAAAAATGCAGACCTTTAGAATGCATTCAAACTTAAGTTGTTTGCAGCTTAAAATGGACTGTTATATAGGTTGTTATATGTAAGCCTCATGGTAACAACCAAGCAAAAACTATAGCAGATACACAAAAGATAATGAGAAAGAAATTAACCATTCCACTAAAGTCATCAAACCACAAAGAAAGAGAGTAAGAGAACAGAACAGCCAGAAAATAATTAACAATATGCAGTGAATACATACCTGTCAGTAATTATTTTAATTGTAAATGGACTAAATTCTCCAATCAAAAAACACAGAGTGGCTGAATGGATTAAAAAAAATAAGACCTATTTATATGCTGCCTATAAGATTCTCCCTTCAGATGTAAGGACACACACAGAATGAAAGTTGAAGGGATGGAAAAAGATGTTCCATGCAAACAGAACCAAATGAAAGCTTGGGTAGCTATACCTATATCAGAAAAACATAGACTAAAACAGAGACTGTAATAAGAGACAGAGAAGGGCATTACATATTGATAAAGGTGTCAATCCAACAAGAAGATGTTTAACATTTATTAATTATGCACCCCCCCAAAAAATAATAATAATTATGCACCCAACATAGGAGCACCTAAATATATAGAGCAAATATTAAGAGACCTAAAGGGAGAAATAGACAGCAATACAGTAATAGTAGGGGATCTTAATACCCACTTTTATTAATAGATAAGTTATCCCAACAGAAATCAGTAAGGAAACATCAGCCTTATATGACATGTTAGACCAGATGGACTTAACAGATATACAGAAAACATTCCATCCAAAAGCAGCAGAGTGCACATTCTTCTCAACTGCATATGGAACATTCTCCAGGATCATATATTAGGTTAAAAAACAAGTCATAATAATTTTTTTTTTTTTTTGGCGGTACATGGTCCTCTCACTGCCGTGGCCTCTCCCGTTGCAGAGCACAGGCTCCGGACAGGCAGCCTCAGTGGCCATGGCTCACAGGCCCAGCCACTCTGCGGCATGTGGGATCTTCCCGGACCGGGGCACGAACCCGTGTCCCCTGCATCAGTAGGCGGACTCTCAACCACTGCGCCACCAGGGAAGCCCAGTCATAATAAATTTAACATTGGAGTCATATCAAGCATCTCTTTTAGGACCACAGTGGTATGAAGCTAGAAACCAGTTACAAGAAGAAGACTGGAAAAATCACAAATATGGATAGATTAAACAGTATGCTACTGAGTAACCAACGGGTCAATGAAGAAATCAAAAAATACTTTGAAAGAAATGAAAATGGAAATACAACATACCAAAAATTCATGGGATGCAGCAGAAGCATTTCTAAGAGGGAAGTTCATAGTGATACATGCCTACCTCAAGAAACAAGAATAATCTCAAACAACTCAACTTTACACCTCAAGTAACTAGAAAAAGAAGAGCAAACGGAGCCCAAAGTTAGCTGAAGGAAGGTAATAACAAAGATCAGAGCAGAAATAATTAGAGACTAAAAAGATCAATGAAACTAAGAGCTGGTTCTTTGAAAAGGTAAACAAAATTGACAAACCTTTATCTAGACTCACCAAGAAAAAAGGAGGGCTCAAAATCAGAAATGAAGGAGGAGCTGTTATAACTAATACCACTGAAATACAGAGATTCGTAAGATACTACTATGAACAATTATATGCCAACAAATTGCCAACAACCTACAAGAAATGGATACATTTCTAGGAACATACAGCCGGCTTTCCAATACTGAATCATGAAGAAGTAGAAAATATGAATAGATTACTAGTAAGGAGATATGAATCCATAATCAGAAACCTTCCAACAAACAAAAGTCCGGGATCAAACGGTTTCACTACCAAAGACTACCAGACATTAAAAGAATTATAGCAATTCTTCTCAAACTCTTCCCAAAAATTAGAAAAGGAGGGAACACTTCCAAACTCATTTTATGATACCAGCATTACCCTGATAAACCAGACAAGGACACTACAAGAAAAAATTATGGGCTGATATCCCTGATGAACATAGATGCAAAATTCCTCAACAAAATATTAGCGAACAAACTGCAACAATACATTAAAAGGGTCATACACCATGATCAAGTGGGATTTATTCCAGGGATGCAAGGATGGTTTGACATCCAGAAATCAAGCAACATGATACACCACATTAACAAATGAAGATGAAAATCGTATGATCTCAGTGGATTACAGAAAAAGCATTTGACAAAATTTAAACATCCATTTATGATAAAAACTCCCAACACAGTGGGTATAGAGGGAACATACCTCAACATAATAAATGCCATATATGACAAGCCTATAGCTTAATATGCTCAGTGGTGAAAATCTGAAAGATTTTCTTCTAAGATCAGGAACAAGACAAGGATGCCTACTCTCACCACTTTTATTCAACATAGTATTAAAGTTCTAGCCAGATAAATTAGGCAAGAAAAAGAAAAGTCATCCAAATCAGAAAGGAAGAAGTAAAATTGTCACTCTTTGCAGATGACATATTATATGTAGAAAACCTTTAGACTCCATAAGAAAAAAAACTTAGAATACTGAATAATAAATGAATAAACTGAATAATAAATGAATTCAGTAATGTTGCAAAATACAAAATATATAAAAATCTGTTGTGTTTCTATACACTAATAATGAACTAGCAGAGGAAATTAAGAAAATAATCCCATTTACAATTGCATCAAAAAGAATAAAATACTTAGGAATAAACTCAGCCACAGAGGTGAAAGACCTGTACACTGAAAACTATAAGACAGTGATGAAATAAAGACAAAACTAAATGAAAAGATACTCCATGCTCATTGATAGAATTAAAATTGTTAAGATATCCATACTACCCAAAGCAATCACAGGTTTAATGCAATAACTGTTAAAATACCACTGGCAATTTTTCACAGAAATAGAATAAACTATCCTGCTCTATTAGGAGAGGTGTGACCACTTGTTGATAGGAGTACGAATTAATAGAACCTCTTAGGAGGTAACTCTGTTAGATCACTGAGTATGTGTAACCTTTAACTCAACAATTCCAGTTCCAGAAATCTGTTCTTTGGAAATCACACAAATTAGAGGGCAGAGGTGGTGGGGGGAAGGTAGAAAGGGTATTCACTGCAGCATTGCTTGGAAACCACCTAAGTACACATCCACAGAGGAAGAGATTGATTAAATTAATTATTGTGGCCATTTAAAAGAATGAGACAGATCTATGTTTGCATCCCTAGAAAGTTTGGAAGTATATGTACCATGATGTTAACAGTGGGGAGTAAGATTAACACCACACACAAAAATAAACTCAAAATGGATTCGAGACCTAAATGTAAGACTGGACACTATCAAACTCTTAGAGGAAAACATAGGAGGAACACTCTTTGACATAAATCACAGCAAGATCTTTTTTGATCCACCTCCTAGAGTAATGGAAATAAAAGCAAAAATAAACAAATGGGACCTAATGAAACTTCAAAGCTTTTGCGCAGCAAAGGAAACCATAAAGAAGACGAAAAGACAGCCCTCAAAATGGGAGAAAATATTTGCAAACGAATCAACGGACAAAGGATTAATCTCCAAAATCTATAAACAGCTCATGCAGCTCAATATTAAAAAAACAAACAACCCAATCCAAAAATGGGCAGAAGACCTAAATAGACATTTCTCCAAAGAAGACATACAGATGGCCAAGAAGCACATGAAAAGCTGCTCAACATCACTAATTATTAGAGAAATGCAAATCAGAACTACAATGAGGTATCACCTCACACCAGTTAGAATGGGCGTCATCAGAAAATCTACAAACAACCAATGCTGGAGAGGGTGTGGAGAAAAGGGAACCCTCTTGCACTGTTGGTGGGAATGTAAATTGATACAGCCACTATGGAGAACAGTATGGAGGTTCCTTAAAAAACTAAAAATAGAATTACCATATGACCCAGCAATCCCACTACTGGGCATATACCCAGAGAAAACCGTAATTCAAAGAGACTCATGCACCCCAATGGTCACTGCAGCACTATTTACAATAGCCAGGTCATGGAAGCAACCTAAATGCCCATCAACAGACAAATGGATAAAGAAGATGTGGTACACGTATACAATGGAATATTACTCAGCCATAAAAAGGAACGAAATTGAGTCATTTGTTGAGACGTGTGTGGATGGATCTAGAGACTGTCATACAGAGTGAAGTAAGTCAGAAAGAGAAAAATACTGTATATTAACGCACATATGTGGAACCTAGAAAAATGGTACAGATGAACCAGTTTGCAGGGCAGAAATTGTGACACAGATGTAGAGAACAAACGTATGGACACCAAGGGGGGGAAGTGGTGGTGGCGGGTGGTGGTGGGATGAATTGGGAGATCATGATTGACATGTATACACTGATGTGCATAAAATGGATGACTAATAAGAACCTGCTGTATAAAAATAAAATTTAAAACTTAAAAAAAAAAACAGTGGGGAGTAAGAATGCCAAGAGAAAAATTTCCTATTTCATATATTTATGTCTTATTTGAATTTTTAATAGGGTAATTGTATTAAAATGGCTTATGTTTCTAGTAAATAAATACTTTAAAGAATAAAAAAGTGCTGCCACTTAACGTTGGCTTAAAGTTTATTCCAAGTATTTATCATTCATTCAGCAAATATTTATTATTCAGTGCTTGCTAATTGCTGTGAGTAGCATAGGGAAATAGACAGTAAACATAGTAAGTAAATAATGTATGTTGTGCTATGGAGAAAGGAAAGTCTGTAGAGTAAGGTAAGGAAGAGTGAAAATACAGTTTTCAATGTAATAGATCTCATTGAAAAGGAGTAGGTCATTTGAGCAAGGAACTGAAGAATTGGAAGGAATTGCACCATTTACTGTGGTTCATGTGATTAAAATTCAGTGTTTCAAGTTGGAAGTATTCTAACTCCAGGCTTGCAGAACTGCGTGGCGATCCAGTTTTTCTGTTTTAAATCTGAATTCTTATAAAGAATCTTAGAATTCTATGTTGAATGTTGAGAGGTTCTCAAACATTACATGCATAAATAAGAATCCCATAACACGCTGATTTCTGTGCCCTGTACCTAAGCAGTTGAATCAGATCTTCTGCATTTGGAAGGCAGCTAATACTAACCCCTGTACCACCAGTGCCTCCAGATTTTCTGCATTTGGAGCCAGTGGAATGTGCATTTTAAACAAGCACCACAGAAATTTTGATGTAAATGGTCTCAGGTCCACACTTACACCTTTGAGATGAGCCTGCTTCACTCCACCTAGCAAAAGACAGCTCCCTCATTATTACTTTTGAATGTGTGAGCTCTTGTGTTCAAGTATACGTCATTAACATGACTTGTTTACTTTTTTAGGTCAAAGGCAATTGTTTGTTTTTTTTCTCTCTTTAAAGGTATCATCAAACGGTATTCAGTCCACTCCTCTAAATCTGGCAACATATTGGAAATGTAGTGCTGGCACCACAGATCTTAGAGTGGATTATAAGTACAACCCAGAAGCTATGGTGGCACCAAGTGTGCTTTCCAACGTACAGGTGGTGGTACCAGTGGATGGAGGAGTCACAAACATGCAGTCCCTTCCCCCTGCAATATGGTAAATTAAGTAGATTTCTGAATTCCTTCTAAGTTTCTGTTGCAATCCCTGAGTCTTAGAACCTAAGTTCTGAAAGTTGTCTTACAAGTTAGTGTATTTTCCCAGAGAAACCATGCTATAAAAGGTACTGTACATTTTACTAGTCACGCTACGGTAGCCGCAACCCAAAATAAACTAGTCTTCTTGTCCCCACCCAGACTCGAATGATTCAATACAACTTTACCCTTAGGCAAAGCGTGTAATTTCTCTAAACTTTCTTTTTTTTCATTTTAAAAATAAAGATAATTATTATTTTATAGGATTAAATATAGCATATCTATAGGAATACCTATCTGGTTAGTCTTCAGTATTAGTTTTTACATCTCTTAACTACCTCTCTTGTTCCCTCCATTAATATTAGTATAGACTCTAACCACTCTTCGTTTATATTTGCTTCACCGTTTAGTAATAAAACTGTGTTTTCCTTGAGCAATGAAGGTACTGGGTCAACCTATGCATTGTTTTCCTTTCTCTGATCAGTAGAAATGAAAAGAATTTACATAATTTGGTAAATATCCATTTATAAAGATATTATATTACTCAAACACATTTTCACCAGGTGATACTGTTCAAAGTAAATCTAGCACCATAGTTCTAGTGAAATATTTTAAATTATTTCTTGAGTGTTCACTTATGTACAAGGTACTATACTAGACACATTACCTGAAAACATTTGTTCTTACAGGAATGCAGAACAGATGAAAGCCTTTTGGAAACTCTCTGGTATTTCAGAAAAATCAGAAAATAGAGGTAAGTGTGTGCATGTTTTTTTTGTTGTTTATAATGTGATGTCACATGGATTTTTTAGGCATGTTTATGGAAAATTTTCTCCTGGAATTTCATGCCTTCAGTTCTAAAACTGACCACTAGGTGGAAGTTAATACCTTATAATAAGAGTGGACCAGTTGAGATTCAGAACACATTTTTTTTCTTCTAGATTGAATATGCTTTCTCTGAGAAAAATGTTTTGCTATAGCTTTATAAATATTATATAAATGCTTATGTTCACATGCTACCATTAAGAGAAGATACCTAATAAAGTAAATTTATAGAAGTCTAGGGAACCTGATAATTGAAACTGAAAACTAATTGATACTAATTAACACACTCTTTAGCTCATTCTTGGGGTCCTCCTGGCCTCCCAGAAATCATGCAGAAGCTTCCCGGCCTTAAAAAGCCCCTCTGTCTTTTCTCTCTCAGGACAACCTTACCTTGGTCATTTCCCCTTATTAAAACTAACCATCAACAGCCTTTAATTCTGCGATCACTATTTTAAGGAGAAGCAAGTTAATCGCCTCCTCCCACCACGTCTGTCTGCATCTGTGTTCCCAATGCAAATAAAAAGTCTCTGCGAGTTAGTTGATCACTCCTCGTATATCCCCTAACTCAATTTAGAATGCAATTCCCAGGACAGTCAAGACTTTAACTTTTTTAAAAAATTTACTTATCTTTGGCTGTGTTAGGTCTTTGTTGCTGCGCACGGGCTTTCTCTAGTTGCGCGAGTGGGGGATACTCTTCGTTGTGGTGCGCGGGCTTCTCATTGCAGTGGCTTCTCTTGTTGTGGAGCACGGGCTCTAGGCACGCAGGCTTCAGTAGTTGCAGCACGTGGGCTTAGTAGTTGTGGCTTTTGGGCTCTAGAGTGCAGGCTCAGTAGTTGTGGCGCACGGGCTTAGTTGCTCCACAGCATGTGGGATCTCCCCAGACCAGGGCTTGTCCCCTGCATTGGCCAGCAGATTCTTAACCAGTGTGCCACCAGGGAAGCCCAAGTCTTTAACATTTTATTTGTAGTTTCTCTTAATCAAAGGAGAGTTCTCCTGCCCTGCCCTCTTTTGAATGCCTAATTAATCTCCAGTTACTTTTCCTATTAAGTAGGGTTTTTTGGCGTTTCAAGTTTTGCTCAGCTTTTTCCTTTTAAACATTTTAAGCATAATGTGATCAAAATGTAAAACAGGGGCTTCCCTGGTGGCGCAGTGGTTGAGAGTCCGCCTGCCGATGCAGGGAGCACGGGATCGTGCCCCGGTCTGGGAGGATCCCACATGCTGTGGAGCGGCTGGGCCCGTGAGCCATGGCCGCTGGGCCTGCGCTTCCGGAGCCTGTGCTCAGCAACGGGAGAGGCCGTGACAGTGAGAGGCCCGCATACCGCAAAAAAAAAAAATGTAAAACATACCATCAGTAGTTTTTCTCATAGGTATTTCTGCATAAAAGTCCAGGAACATACCTCGTATTGTCTGCTCATTCAGACCTGCTGTGCTGAACCAGACTTTTACTACTAGAGAACAACACATTGTATGAAATAACCTAGCTAATCTCTAGTTCCTTTGTTCCTATTTGGTACTTAAAGGTTGCCTATTTTCAAGTGGTAAACTGTACTGATTTTTACTCTGTTTGGCTATGGGAGACAAAACTGAAATTCCTAGTTGAAACTGGAAGTAAACCAGAAATGCTACTTGAATTGAGGGTTTACAACCAGTTAGCAAGGAAGAAAGGGTATATTTTCCCCATATTTAATGAAACAGTATTATTGTAAATATTTACCAAGAAGGGAGTTTGTTCTCTTAAAAATAAGACACAAATTTTCTAGCCAGATATATTAATAGTTTCCCTCTGCTGTTCAGGTATCAGAGTGTCTGTGTGAGGAAATGGAAACATCTTATAAATGTGGTTCTGATTTGGTTAGTCAGCCTTTAAAAAAAAAAATCTCCAAATTAGAATACTGTAAAACAGAAATCTATTTCTATTTTGCCTTTATGCCCAGAAGAGGGACAGGAAATAATTCTGAAGTTTAAGGATTGCCAAGGTGGCTGCTCTTGGCCTGCGGTGGAACTTTCACAGAATTGAATTTTGCATATCAAGAACTGTAAAAGTTTAAGGAGGGCTTGAGCAAGCGTTAAGAATTATACAGCAATTCATCTTCCCAATTGATCTGTGCCACCAGGTACAATAGTATAGGATGGGTCATTGTTATATTTTCTTACAGATTTCTCTCCGTAGTGTTCAGCTTCTATGCGGGGAATCACAGAATGTCACTCCTACTATCCAGCAGTTCTCCTTTCCCCAGCCAGAAACCCGGGAATCCTCCTAGGCTCCTCCTCCTTTTCACCCCTTGATTTCAACTCTTAAATATCTTTCAAATTCATTCTTTCTTTCCTTTCCCTTAGCCTAGTTCAGATCCCCTTTTCCTGTCACCTAGAGTCCGAGACTATTATATTGACCTTCAGGTGGTTTCCCTACGTTGCATCTTGTACCTTTCTGCCCTTCTAGGAGACTTACCTGAAATGTTTGTCTTCCTTATCTTAGGTGGTTCCTTATGGTTATTTCTTCCGGTGGTTTGTAAAGATATTTAGAGCTCGTTCCTTGCTGCCAGTCGTCTCCTCTTCTGCCACTCTCTTCCACCTGTACCCTCTTCTCCAGCTCTTCTGGTGCAGACGTAGCTCCCTTAAATGTGTCATGCTCTGTCAGGTCTCCCATCTCTGTACCTGTAGTCACCTTTGCCTGAGATACAGGCCTGTCATCCCCACACCATTTCATGTGCCCATAGCTTTAAAATTTTTTTCTTAACAGCATTTATAATATTCATAATTATTTACTATTTCTGCCACACTGTTAGACTGAGTTATGTTGAATAAATGGTTATATTGAAAAGAAAGCCCCTCAGACATAATTGGCATGATGTTAGACCAGTTAAATTTTAAAACGAAGGGTGTTAGCATATGGTATTTGTTTTTCTCTTTCTGACTTACTTCACTCTGTATGACAGACTCTAGGTCCATCCACCTCACTACAAATAACTCAATTTCGTTTCTTTTTACGACTGAGTAATATTCCATTGTATATATGTGCCACATCTTCTTTATCCATTTATACACTACCAAACGTAAAATAGCTAGCTAGTGGGAAGCAGCCGCAGAGCACAGGGAGATCAGCTCGGTGCTTTGTGTCCACTTAGAGGGATGGGATAGGGAGGGTGGGAGGGAGACACAAGAGGGAGGAGATATGGGGATATATGTATATGTATCACTGATTCACTTTGTCATAAAGCAGAAACTAACACACCATTGTAAAGCAATTATACTCCAATAAAGATGTTAAAATATATATATTATATATATATATATATATATATATATATATATAGGCGGGGGGAAGAAAAGAAGGGTGAATACAAAATAGTAATGTTGATACAGCTCTTCCCAATCTTAGCTGTCTTAGCTTCTTTACCTCTCCCGCCCGTGATATGGTACTCAGCAGTCCTTTCCTTTTGACTTTATTCCCACTTATCCCTTCTAGGGCTTCCTTCTGAGCTGCCCTCAGACTTGTCTTTTGACTCATTTCAACATTCATATAGCATAGGAATCTCAATAGTAAATGCCTCTGAAGATTATTATTAATTAAGTCAAAGAGAAGCATGGATGAAGATTACTTAACGAAAATTCAGATTCACTGGATAAAGTCTGATTCGGAAACAGGACATTGATTTGCTTGCTGTACACATTTCACGAATTTGGCATAGCACAGACACAGTTCAGCTTACTTGCTCATTTGCCTTTTTTGGTGTGAAATATATTATCCTGTATAAGTTCTTTGTTCTTTTCCTTGTAGGTTCTGGGTCCCTCAGAGCAAAATTTGATCTTTCAGAAGGACCCAGTAAACCCACAACACTTGCAGTGCAATTCCTCAGCGAGGGAAGTACCCTCTCAGGAGTAGATATTGAACTTGTAGGCACTGGCTATAGGCTTTCCTTAGTAAAGAAGCGGTTTGCCACTGGTAAGTTGGGAGATTTCAAGCTTTATAATGTACATGGGACACATTTGTATTCTAACATTTACTAAACGACTGTCAAGTAGTTTATAGTCTAAAGGCATGGAAATTTTTTCTTTGACCTTTGGTACAAGGTGCCAGATAGAGACACACCTGGGAGAGAGAGTACTCATGGTCAGTATAGCTGAACACCTGTGATCTGATTCTAATGTATTGTAAACAGCAGATGGGAACTGGGGTTTGTATCTGTAACCACAGTGAAAATATTCTCCTTCGAGTTCATTTGAAATTATAATTGCAAAGGTCTGCTTGGTGTTTTTCAGGACGATACTTGGCAGATTGTTGATGGACCTGGGAAAGTGGTTGGCTCAAGGGAGTAGTACAAACCTGCCATTCTGCATTATCTGTTCTTTCCAAACACTATTCTAACTTGTATTATGTCTTTAAGAGCTGACTACAAACATTAAATTGCACTTTTGAAGTGAGTCATCGAAAGAAATAGCACTGAAATGATTTTCAACGCTGTAAATGATAAACTGCAATATTCAGGAAACACATTTATTCAGATCGTCAGTAAAATGAAGTTTTTATAGGCTGAAATTTTAAATTATCTTTAGTGTCTGTGGTTATAGTGTAATATCAGGCCTGAAATTTCAGGAGAGCAAGCACAAAATAATTTAGCTTTCCGTAAGTTTTTAGAGTCAGAGATAATTTTGAAATTTCATAAGTTTTGATATTGAATGGATACAGACAGAACGTGAATTCTAAGTTTGGGATAATGTTCATTTATAACACTCAATCAAATTGAGTTTTGTGCCATAAAGTAATCAGACCAGAGTCCAAGGTGTTTGCAAAATCTATAATTTGATTCTCATATAAACATATTAATAAAGTGTAAATGGTGTTTTATGATTTTTTTTAATCCTCAAGTGCAATGTGTTTTAAAATAAGCTTGCAAAAGACAGCAGAGAAATTTACTTCTGCAGTTAACTTTATAGAAGTGGTGATTGTTTTGATGAATTAATGCTGTAGATTTATTTTTATATGGATTGCATAATGTGTGCCTTGTAAAACAATAACAAAACCCAGAAATGTGCCTCTCTAGTTTGTGTTCCTTAATGTGCCTCACTTTTTTCCTAACAGTCTGGATCTTCTATTCAGAATCTTAGAGTAGTCAAGGATTTTTACAAGACAATTGCAATTTTCAGAAATACCTTTGGCCGCAATTGGGAAGGGAGTTCAGAATAACTAAAGGACAATTTATACTTAAGAACCCTTAGTGATACACTGTAGCCACTAGAGAAATAACTAATGGCATATGTTTACAGGGGGAAAAAATCACCTTCAGATATTCCACCTTAACCTCATCAGAAAGTTCTGCAAAACTGTAATGATAAATTGGTAACTGGTATTTTAACTCTCCATTTAACATTTCCCTTCACTCTATTATTGGAAATCTGTACATTTATTTCCTGAATGTGTTGTGAGCATGAATTTTATAGTAGTTTGTGAGGAACACTTTAGAAAAGATTAGTTTTGGCATTTTCAACAATTGGAAAAACTACCATTTTGTATGTTCTTGTTCTTACTTAATTGCCACCTGCTAAAAATAGGAAAATTATTTGAAATGATGGATTGGGTTAAGCATTTCTTAATATTACTAATATTAAATAGTAAAAATCCTACCTTTATAGCAAATCCTGATTAATTGAAGGAATTAAATATTTCGGACACAGTTTCATAATTTACAAATGGGAAATTTATTTGTAAGTACCAGTGTCCTGCATTTTGCATAGAAGCAATAAAATGTGTTATATATGATAGTTTATATAAAACCACTAATTGTTCTGTTAAGCTTTACAGAAAATAAAACCCCTCCTACTAGACATTTATGTAACATCTTGCTATATTAAATACAGCAGAAAATCTACTCATTAGTAATATATATAACACAATAATGTGCTTTTTTAATATATCCATGTTAGCCCAATTCTAAATTTAGATTTGACTAAAGCAGTACATAAGAGAATTTGCTAAAATTTTCATCTTTACTAAATAGTGGACAAAATTAGAATTTCTAACTTACATTGTACTCTTTTAAATGCCAATTACAGTCCCTTACTGGAATCTTAACTGTAACTGCTTTGCAGTCAAACTGCTTTTATTGGGCAGTTAATATTTTATTGTTGGAATTCAGACACCATTATACTCACCATGTTTGTTTTTAATCAAGTATTACCTTACAATGTACAAACTAGTGAAATGGTTAAACTTCTGCACTTTCCTAATTACCACTGTCTTCATACCAAGTGCTGATACATAAATTTGTATTGGGTGCAGGTTACAATTTTGAAGCCATATGAGTTTATATTGATTTTTTCATTTAAAAATCCACTAATGGTGTAAAAAAGACCAATAGATTTTCAATCGGAAATGTATTTAGCAAGCTGGTTCTTGCTTATGTATAGTGATAAACTTTGTAGCTGCCTCTTTAACCAAGAACTTGTAAACACAGAACTCTAACAAATGTGAGTTTTTAAGAATTGTTATTTACTACTTTGAGTTGTAATTAGAACAAGGCAAATCTTACAAAATTTTGTAAATATTTTTGATTTTTTCATAAAAATGTAAATTTTACATAAAAGTTGTGCCCTTAATAAACATGTAATATATAATTTATCAGGTGGTTTGTGTGTTTTTGTACTCTTGTTTATAGTAATAATAGCTATATCATAGACTTCAGGACAAGGCAAGCTAGGTAAGCAAAGATAATTGGTGTTGAACTTTGTTATCACCATTTAGACAGACATATAGATTGGTCTCTTATTTAGTTTTAACTGATCATATAGGAAAACTTCATTTGGACTATAACCCAAAAGTATATAAATTGTTTAATAAGGATTATTTTTATTTGTTTCTAAATTTACTTAAATTGATGTTAAGCTTTAGCAGAGACTTTCCTCCTGACAAGTTGCTTAGGAACACAGCGTTACACAGTTTTAAAACCGTACTCTTTCAAGGAGGTAATCGGGAACATCAAGCCTCTCAAAAACCAGCGGATTTAGAAAGGAGCAAAAAAAAAAGGAATTGGAAAAAAGATTTCATCCTAAATATTGAAAATTTTGCTAAATCTGTGTCATGAAAAGGAGCAGTTTAGTTCATCTAGGTCAGGTTGGGGAACCTGTGTACCGAACAGGTAGCACTCTTACCATTCATACCATAGGCTCATCTTTTTTCTTTTATTCTCTTTTTCCACTTGCACTGCTCCCACCTGTTCAGAGTGAATGATGCTAGCTGCTGTGATACATAAGATCCCGGGAACTTAACACTGTAAACTAGTATGTTGCCTCACGTCACGGTTCTAAGGAAGTTGGAGAAGGAGCTCTGCTCCATACAGTAATTCAAGGACACAGGCTCCCTCCATTTTTGTGACTCCACTCAAAATCCTCTCCATTTGGCCGTTGGTTGGGGAAGGAAGGAAACTGGGAGTTTATGGGCCAGGCGCAGAGCTGGCGTCATGACCTTTGTTCACATTCCTCTAGCCAGAACTTGATCTGTGCTTCCAACTAACTAACTCCAAAGAAAGATGGGAAATACATAGTGTGGTTGTGTGCCTAGGAGGAAAAGAAAGCATATTTTGACAAACACAGTAATCCTCTGGCGCGCATCCTGCCCTTTCTCCATTTGGTCATCTTTCGTTATTCCTTCTCCTAAATGTGCGTTTAATGGTGTCTGTGGCTTTCGGTACTAAAGGTTCATTCCATCATCTCTTGCTATATGTACCTATTTTACCCCTATTTTAAAATATATCTGATTATTTCCATATTTCCTCTAATCATATATGATATTTATGGTTACTTATGATAACTCAGAAACCACTGCTTATCTTTAGCATGCAGTGTTTCATCTGTCAGTAATTTTTTAACTGCAGGTAACAGAAAACAAAACTAAGAATGGTTTAAACAGATAAAGACAAGTTTTTTCCCCGCATCACGAAGTCTGCAAGTTTATCTGTTGCTGGTATTGGACAGAACAAGTGATTCTTTGGGCTTTTTCCTTATGGTTGCAATATGGCTGCCACAGCTTCCAACTACATATTTACATCCAAAGCTGGGAGGGGGGCAGTTCCAGGTATATCTGTCCTTTTTGTCAGGAGATTTAAAGCTTTTCCAGCACATTTCTGCTTGCTTCCTATTGGCCAGAATTGTGTAAGAGGCAGAGAAAGCAAGTAGCCTTTATTTTTAAGTGAGTAAAGGAGAGGGGGCTGGGAATGGCTGAAGGTGAATTGGCCAGCAGGTCAGCCACCAGATTTCTGACTAGTTCAGGCGTATTTCCTTATAGCATATTTCCAATTAAATCACTGCACTTAGCCCAATCCATTTATTTGACAATTTTAACCCAGCAATGAGCAGGGTGAACTTGAGAAAGTATTCTAAATCTTCTCTATCTTTAGAAGAGTGAATCAGTGTAACTTTCCTAGAGAGCAATTTGAATTCAAAATCTTTAAAAACCTTATTTATCATTTAAACTAGTAATTCATCACTGTTGGGAATTTGTCGTAAGAAAATAATGAGACAAGAAAGCAAAGATGTGTTTATTATATGAAAAAATTGGAAGGATTAAATGAGTTGATAGCTCCCATATAGTGATATACTATGTAGGTATTTAAAATAATCATGAATAAACAACAAGGTCCTACTGTACAGCACAGGGAATACCTGTAATAAACCATAATGGAAAAGAATATGAAAAAGTATGTGTATATGTATAACTGAATCACTTTGCTGCACACGAGAAACCAACAACACTGTAAGTCAACTTCAATTAATTAAAATAATCATGAAGGTTTATAGTCATTGATACCGAATATTGTCATGACATTGTTAGATGGTAAAAGGTAATTCTTTTCTGTTTTAAAGTGCATACACCTAACGCAAAAACCTTTGTAAAAAATATGCACCAAGTTGTAATTCCTGGGTGATGGGATTTTTACTTTCCACAGGATGTTTAATGTCCAAATTTCACTTTATTTTTTATAACAGGTAGGTATTACATTTACAAAACCTTTATATTTTGAAAAACAGTTTTAGAAATAGAATGCAAGATGAACTTTATGTTGACGTAAATAATGTACAAGGATCCCTTTACATGAGGGTCTTCCCATTTTGATCACCGCCTTAGCCTTCCACTTGGTTCTACCAATATAACTACTTTGTTCTGTATTGCTTATTAACGTAAGGAAGTAGATTTCTGCTCTACTTTTTTCCTTTTTCTTTTGGTCTCAAAGCTCAATGCCCTGATTTCTTTCGCCTAAATGAATACAGTATCAATTCTTTTTTCTGCCCA